ATTAGATCTATCGGTATACTGTCAACGGAAGTTCGCATAAAAAGTGCACTTACCTTCAACTTTACTTTGCTGAATCCAAAATCGTGTGTGTATGTGTGGAATAGCTTTATTTAACTTTAAATCACGGCATCATTTCTTCTTTGGGAAAAATAATAACCTATGCCGCCATTTTAAATCCCAGAATTCCGTACGTTCCGGTCAAACGAACAAACAAAAAATATTTAATAAATAATTGAAGCAATTTAGATAAATAACAACAATAACCGTAACCTATAAAAAAATATTGTAATGTGAATAGAAATAATATGATATAAACCGATTTAAACACAATCATCAATCGTGAACAGATCGTGACCTTGACCTTGCCCGAGACGATAAAAATATATTTGTACATCTATGTCGGTCTAAAAATGGCGGCTGTTCGTTTGAAAGGCCTGTAATATTTCTGATAATGAATCTATTCATATAATTTGTTTGTATACGCTCTACCATATTTTATATGAGGTTACATAATTACGTTATATTAAAAGAATAATCAAATCGGGGAATTTTAATTTTCAGAGATAGGTCTTTTATCGAGAGACGATAAATATATGGACTCATATAGCTAGAGTAGATCTCTATGTTAATTGACTGGGTCATTATTATCTATTTTTCAGATTCATAACTTAAAAAAATGGAACTAGTCTTGGTCCAACCTTTATTTTTATATGGTTTTACAACTTATATAATTAAGTGTTGAACTTTTAAATTCGAAATAAAAAAACGGCAACAATCGACTCATGACCTATTTTATATATTGTATGTATGTAGACAGCCGCCATTTTGAATGATATTAACAACACACATTGATTTAAGCAATATTTTATTTAGATAGTTTCATATTAAGAACTAAATTTTCAAAAATTTAAGGATTCATGAACAAGGCCAAAGGTTATTATAATTGAGCTCCATATTGTTAATGGTAATACAATTCCAAGAATGTACACTTGTACAAACATACATGAAGGCCTTATATAAATAATGATCATGAATTTTATATTTACTGGTGCAAGGATCATTAATTTTATATTTACTGGTGCAAGGTTGATGAAGGCCTTATATAAATAATGATCATGAATATTATATTTACTGGTCCAAGGATCATTAAGTTTATATTTACTGGTGCAAGGTACTACATTTAATAACTTTAATTATAAAAACACTTAATGCATTGTCGGCCTATGAATTTTATATTTACTGGTGAAAGGATCATTAATTTTATATTTACTGGTGCAAGGTACTATATTTAATAAATTTAATTATAAAAACACTTCATGCATAGTCGGCCTAGGTGTGGACTACTCCGAACATTTGGACAGTGATAACCTTTTAGTAGAGAACAACTCTGCTTTATGAAACAGTTTCCGACAATCAATCATTATTTGTTTTGTCAAATTTTTGGGTATCAAAATTGAGAGAGAGAAATGGGGTTTAACGTTCACTTGACTCGATGATACAACAAAAAACACAATTACTATTTTAATTAAAGCGACGTTTCGTTGAGGGTTCTCTCAATGTTTTCAAGTAAATGATGCTCAATAGTCAACGGGTGCACTCGTCCGCTTGCCAGCCTATCTTTTATAGTCCCATTGGTGCAGAAAAGTAGGAAAATTAAATAAAATTAAATGAGATTAAACATCCTACTGTTTTGCTCTGAGTGAGCTAATGAAGACAGGCATACACTATATACAGTGTACTATGACGGAAACTTTGCACGGATAGCGGCACTATGGCCTACTCTGATATTGAATTACAACTGTCGGAGTGTCTTTTACGTGCATGCCAATATGTACATGAGGACTTGATTTTTCGTATGACCCGAACAACTATACCTTATCCCTTGCCAGATCCTCCGCCCTGCCACAGTCCATAGAAAATTTCCGTCATAGCACTCTGCATTGCGTATGACTATCTTCAATAGTCCGATTGGTGCAGAAAAGTATGAATTTGAATTTTAAATGGGGTTTGAACATCCTACTATTTTGTTCCAAGTGGGCTAATGAAGAAGGGCATATGCTATAATGGTTAAAATGTTGTGATTTCGGGTTAAAATGCCGTGATGTTGGGTTATCGCCTTACGAAGGGTGATATCAGTCACCATATCTACTGGGTTTCTTTAATACTCATATTTATAGTATTTTATAAAGTCAGACTAGTGGACTAGTGAATGCACGGATTAGTGCACCCATGGACTAGTGAACCCGCAGACTAGTAATTGGTAATGATGGAAAAGTGTGTAAAGACCTCTTTTACAGGTTGGCGTGCACTTAGAACTATTGGTAATGACTATATGCGGAAATGCTGCTCTCCAGGCAAAATGTCTTTCCTAGCACATCTTCATTAGTAAGTGCGGTAATGCTGCTGTCCAGGCAAAATTTCTGTCATAGCACATCTTCATTACTAATTTTGATAAAGCCACGGTGGCTAAGTGCGTAAGATGCTGGCTCGGTAATCCGGAGGGCACGTGTTCGATCCCTGCATTGGTGGAGAAAGTTCATCAGGAATTTCCGACATGGTTTCCCCTTGTCAGAGGTGCAGGAACAAGGACAGTAGTCTAGTCACTCAGATGGGACAAAAAACCGAGGTACCATGTATACATTGGCTTGCACGAAAAGATCCCTTGGCAGTTGGATTCGATATTAGTAGGCCATAGTGCCGCTGCTGGGGCAAAATTTCCCTCAAAGCACATTGTATGGTATGTACCTGTCTTCATTAGCCCAGTCGGAGCAGAACAGTAGGACAATAAACCGATTTCATCAGGACAAACCTACATGAGGAAAAACCTACATTTCACAAACTTAGTAATAGTAACGGGGGGGGGGGGGGTTGGATGGCTGAATGGTTAGCGTGCGGGCGCTGTATCATAAAGTCTATCATTGAGTTGACTGTCGTGGTTTCGAATCCCCGGTTGTACGTGACAAGGAGTAGGGTCGCCTGTCCAACCTCCGGTTTTCTCCAAATGCTAAAGACCCCTACGCGCAAGCAAATTATGTAAATAAAAATTAAACTATATGTTAGTCCCGAAATGACCTAGTTTGTGTCGAGTAGACGTTAAACCCCATTTCTCTCTCTCTCTCTAGTAATTAGTAACACACTGGCTAGCAAATGAGGGGTTCAATTTCCGTGTTGGTCGAGAAAAATGAAATGAAATCTGGTTTAACGTCCTACTGTTCTGCTCCTAAACTGAGCTAATGAAGACGAGCATACGCCATACAGTATGCTATGAAGGAAATTTTGCCCAGGCAGCGGCGCTATGGCTTACTCTTATATCAAGTTCCAACTACCAAGGGATCTTTCATGTGCACTCCTGTGTGTACAAGTGACCTCAGTTTTTCATCCCTGACTAGACAGCTGTTCTTGTCAGGCCCTCCGTCCTGTATCACTGACAAGGGGAAAACACGCAGGAAAATCTGGATGAACTTTCTCAGCCAATGCAGGGATCGAACACCCGACCTCCAGGCTAGCGAGTCAGCGTCTTACTCACTTAGCCAACGTGATCCCCATGTTGGTCGAGAAAGTTCCCTTTGTTAGTAGTGTGTAGGACAGAGGACCTCAAAAATACAGTGTCTAATCCATCACGTGGGTGTGCACGTAAAAGAACCCTTGACATTTGGAATTTGAAATGAGAGTAGATCATTCATTCATTCGTTTTCTCTTTGTGTGTCACCTACAATTCGCAACTATTAAAGGAGCTAGATCTCTATTCTTGGGCACTTAGAAATGGATACAAAATGTAATGAAATGAAATGGGGTTTAACGTCCAACTGTTCTGCTCCGAACTGGGCTAATGAAGATGGCCATACACCATACAGTGTGTTATAAGGGAAATTTTGCCCCGACAGTGGCACTACGGCCTACTCTTATATCGAATTCCAACTGGCAAGGGATCTTCTTTTACATGCATGCCAATGTGTACACGGGACCTCGGGGGTTTTTTTTATCCCATCTGAACAACTAGACAGCTGTCCTTGTCAGGCTCTCCGTCCTGCATCACTGACAAGGGGAAAAAACGCCGGAAATCTGGATGAACTTTCTCGGCCAATGCAGGGATCGAACAACCGACCTCCAGGCTAGCGAGCCATGGTCTTACCCATTTTTATCCCATTTTAATGACTAGACAGCTGTCTTGTCAGGCCCTTAATTGTTAGTATCATGACATTAAACTGACATTTGTTTTACGTTTTACAACTAATATCAGGTTTATGTTAGAAAACTAAAGTTAGATTTATGTTAGAAAACTAAAGTTAGATTTATGTTATAAAATTAACATTAGATTTACGTAAGACAACTAACCCTAAATTAACGGTTAAAATTATGACATAAAACTAACATTACATTAACGTTAGAAAACTAACATTATTATAACGTTAGAAAACTAACGTTAGATTTACGTCAGAAAACTAACGTTAGATTTACGTCAGAAAACTAACGTTAGATTTACGTCAGAAAACTAACCATAAACTAACGGTTAGAAACCTGATGTAAAATTTACGTTAGATTAACGTTAGAATTATAACCAATAATACATATATAATTATTATGTCTGAATTCCGACTATATATCAATTGTTAGAATGTGTACACACTTGTAATGTTATTTAATCAAGAAGTATTCAAAGGGAAAAAAATTCGTTAGTAATCCGTCATAAAGTTTACGTTACATTTACGTCATTTTCGGACGTAAAAGTAACCATAACCATTATGACGTAAAAGTAACGTAAATTTAACCAAAGAATTTTACCATTATTGGACGCTAACCAAAATCTAACCATAATGACGTAAACTTTACGTAAATCTAACCATCAATGTTAACTGGGTTACTTTATTCAGCGATCGTTTCTAATTTAGTTTCAAACAATATTTGAAGAGGTACTTAAATTGAGTACTGGAGAGGGTTAAAAATGTAATGTAACTCAGCATATCAGTTGTATGTTATGCAATCAGAAATAAATGATTTACCTCGGTTACCACAATCGCCTGACACCAGCAGGTATTGAGATGCAGCTAAAATTATATGAAGAAGTAATATTAAGTACTATAAATATGTTTTAGATAATGACAGATATGAAACTTAAATGTTTCCAAGTTTTTTAGTACAAGCCGAGGTTAATAATTTGTTTAATTTGAAATGGACAAGTTATCCTCTATCTGTTCAAGATTACGATGTGGACATATTTTGTCATTTCTATTCACATTTTACTAATATATAGTGAGTGCAGAAGAACCGCACTGCACACCACACATAAACAAATCAGGGGACCAGTTATAAGCGCCCATTGCGCTGTATCAACCCGGTCCCGCACCGACACATGCCTCCCTCAAAATAAAACAATAAGAAAAACCCGCGGACAAGACACACAATTATGAGACATTGCAAATAATAAACACATAAATATATCAAATCAAGCGAATGGATCCGGGGGCGGCCGTGCCGTAAACGTAAACAGTTTTAAATGATATTTGTTTATACATTTTGTCAATACGACTGTAGAAAACAATTATCATACTGATTATTTACTATGTTTGTATAATTTACATTCTATGTGAAAGAGGTTCATTCTCACCCAGCTCAAAACTTAAATAATCATGTTAGCGTGACTAAGGTGTTAATTGGAATTTCTAAAGAAGGATTAGCTGTAGTCTGTTTCACATTGGGCACTGTTTATTTCATTAGGTTAAACCTAATAGTAAAACAAAATCACTTGATAATGTTTTATTCAACATTTATTATAGTAAAACATGTTTATTTTAACACTTTTAATGTAAATGGAAAAACTTAATATAAAAAATAAATAACTAAATAGCACTATGAAATGAACATCAACATTAAAAATATATATTTCATATGGGCAAGTAAACATTTCATACTTTTTACTCTAAATGGACAAGATGAGATACCACATCTACATAAAGCATGATGTCTCTTTGACCATTTCGGAACTGATCTTTTAATGCTTGAAGTCTCTCTTCTAGTTCACGGTAGGCTTTCTTCTTTGGCCTGGAAATGCCGTTAGCACTGAGCTGTACAATTAACACTAATTAAACGTTTAATCCATATCTAATTAGGTGAACACATTTCAGCTACAGACCATAATCCCCCAGCCCTAAACCCTTAATCCCCTTAATCAATATTTTGAGCTGGATGAGAACACCCCGTGAAAGATGTCACATAACCTAGTTTTGATTTTAAAAAATGGAGAATATAACCTGATCCTATTTCCTTTTAAATATTCGGGATGCATGTTATAATAACTGACAATGCTGACTTATCAACCAACTATTTATCGGAATGCGAAGGGTGTCCAAGAATGAAATATAAAAATCGTATAGTTAATATTATATGTGTACTTACTGTGGTAATAATACAACCAAATAACATCATTAGTGTTAGATGTATATCTGTTAAATTGTATACTAATCTTGTCATATTTAATGTTACTGGGTAAAAGGACAACATCATCACCAGTACACCAATATAAGGATTGGTTGTCTACTGTAATTGTAACACTGTTACATGATTCAGCAGTCAGGAAGATGTATTCAGTGGCAAAATGTAATCTACCGGTTATATTACATGAACATGTTAAATCACGTGTTGGAGTTGATTTGCCTGAGAAAATCAGATACCTGGAACCAGTTGTTGTGAAGGTAGTGGTATTTATGATGTAATTATCCGAGTACCCTGTAATATATGTAATTAGTAATGTACTTTATATCTATGCATAGTTTTAATCTATGGCCGACGCTTTATATCAAAGCTTATTTAATTATTCATGTCCAGTATAACGGAGAGAGAGAGAAATGGGGTTTAACGTCCACTCGACACAAACTAGGTCATTTCGGGACTAACATATGGTTTTAATTTTATGTCAATAATTCGTAGGGGTCTTTAGCAGTGGGAGGAAACCAGAGGACCCGGAGAAAACCCACGAGGATGGACAGGCGACCCTACTCCTTGTCACGTACAACCGGGGATTCGAAACCACGCCAGTTGACTCAATGACAGGCCTTATGATACAGCTCGCACGTGCTACCAATTCGGCCATCCTACCCCCCCCCCCCCCCCCCCGTCCAGTATAACTCTTTCAATGCTACTTATATTAGTTTACTTGTTAGCCTCCCCGAAAATTTCAAAATATAAAAAAAACAGCAGACATTATTAATATATTGAGTTTACTTACCCGAGAAACAGCCATAATGATACCATATGTAATCATAACCGGTAGTTGGATTGTAAGGATAATTCAAGCTACATGATTCTTTATAAGAACACTTCTTATAAACTGTTAATCTTTCCTGTTGATTGAAACCCACTGTCGTATCACCACTTCCACGCGTACAGCAAACACTGGTTTTACAATCATCTTCATCTTGTATTAATGGGCAGGTGATGTTAGATGGTTTAGTAGCGTAGTACAGGTGGAAGATGCCTATGAGATCTCCGTTACTACATGTTAGATTATGATTGGAACATACGGATCCCGGTGGTTTATAACATGCATATACTAATACACCCTCAATGACTGTAATAAAATTATTAATGATTTAATTGAACTCTCGAGTATTAAAGGTCTGAAATTAGTAGATATGTGATCGGGACCCCCAAAAACGCAACTCTTCAATCTGTTTCACAGAGGAATTGCGAAAGTCTTCTTATAACTCTGTATACGATGTCTGCCTTCTAATGTGACGTCACATCAAGAGGCGTCGATCATTGGCCCAATGGCGCGTGCATTGTTTACATACGACGATGTGGGCGTGAAATGAAATGAAATGGGGTTTAACGTCCTACTGTTCTGCTCCTATACTGGGCTAATGAAGACGGGAATACGCCATACGTGCATTCCAATGTATACACGGGACCTCGGTTTTTCATCTCATCCGAAGGATGAACTTTCTCGACCAATGCAGGGGTCGAACACCCGACCACAAGGCTAGCGAGCCAGCGTCTTAACCAACTAGCCACCGTGGCTCCATCTGGGCGTGAACTGATCCGCGCAGAATTGTGCCTTTTACTCTTTTTATATACCCATTTATATGTAAAGGATATTAACCTCCCCGAGGCTGATATGATGAGAACATGTGGCCGAAGCCTAAGTGTTCTCTACCATATCAATCCGAGTGAGTGAAGGTTTATGTCCGAAATATATACAACGTCATAGTTTTAATCACCCTTAATTTTAAAGTCAACAATGATTGGATAAATGTTCGATAGTTTCCGCCAAATTACGAAAATTACCGAACTAATCGCGTAAATGCATTGTTTAGACCCAAATACCTTGTCGCCATTATGGAGTATATATAGGTTTAATTGAATAGAAAGCAACAACAACAAAACCCCCAAAAAACTAACTTACAATTCAAATAAAGTGAATGGATCCGGGGGCTAGTCGTAAGCGTCCACTGCGCTGTACAGTCCCGGGCCTGTAGTGACACAGACTTCATTAAAATTTGAAAACAATCAGGAATAAAACCCAGAGAAACCATTGTGTAATGTCAGCATGAGTCATGATCTGCTATAGTATATATATGTTACAAGAAATATGAATGTAAGCGTATTGTTGTAAAATTTAACTATACAATTAACCACATATGTGAAATGTATAAAAAAAAACAGGTAGTCTAAAACTAAATGCTCTAAGTCAATTAAGAAACGTTTTAGTATTCAATAGAATCGAGGCATATTGTACACAGAAGGGTAAATGTTCCACCCATCACAAAAAAAACAGAGCAAAAAACAAACAATACTGAATACAAAGAAGTAATGAGAAAATGTAGGCCGTCTCGAAAGACAGCCATCTGCTGACTGAATGCCGTGACGTGAAAAAGCCGGTAGGTTGTCAATGACGCCAAAATTTTAGAAAGTAACAAAACACCACAATAAAATGGGCGATAATCCAGATAAAATAACGCCGAAAGGTTAATAAACTATCAGTTTTGCAACTAATCGGAATTATTAAGTTATGTAATTGCACAAAATATAATACGTAATATCCCACACAAGAAATGCAAACCAGGTATGCTGAAGAAATCGTAGCCTACTATGTAAGTGTATTTATAAAGGCATAAAATAAGGGCGATAAACCATAGGATTAGGTAACTACAGAAAATTTAAAATAAAAATTTAAATTGAATCATTTTCCAAAATGTAGCCGGTTATATACTTATAAGAAATGTCAACTTGGTATGTTGAAGAAATGGAAGTTTCGAAATTTCTTTTAAAATGCGTAGGAATTGTGTACCGCCTTTGGCAGTGCACTTAAAATAAAGAGAATTTATTTGGGAAATAAATAGTTCTTTATTACATATTGTTAAAAATTGTAATGCCTGTGAATAGAAAACACTATACGGCGTTGTATCTGGTAAGTTACTATAAATTGACGGGTATTTTACTACTTCAAAACCAAATTTGTCCGTTTTGTCGAAAATGCCGACATTAAATTTATTGTTAATTATGTTAATGTCCAGGTCAAGAACAGATGCATTTATTATGCCGGAATTTTCTTTATTTAATATTAATTCTGGGGGATATATTTTACTTTTATATTTGTTGAGATTTGCGTTGTCATTGATGGGTGTTATGTCATCAATGTATCGGAATTTATAGTTTAGACTTTAGCTACTTTGTAATCTGTTTTTCGTTTGTGATCCTGAAAGCAAAATTCATATCTATATAAATGTGCATTTGCCATAAATGGGGAGGGGTCAGTTCCCATTGGTAAATCAATAGATTGCTGTATTATCTGATCCCCAACCTCAAATATGGCATTGTCAATGAGAAAATGTATATGTATGTGTTATTTAGGACCTCGGGTGGGAGCGTCTTGGGTTTAATTTTATATATTTGATTATCTTTGACAAGAGATCAAAAACGGTGTTTTTCCATTCTCCAAAATATTCTAAAGGTGCACGAAATTTATCAGACCAAGCTACAATACATTTCCTGATTTGAGATTTGAGATTATTATGTAACTTTTTGAAATTAGTTCTACTTGGTTGTTCTCGAAATTGTGGTCCAAAGCGGAAAAGGTTTTTAAGATTTTTATCTTCAACAATACCGAAGTGTCCTGTCAGTATATGGTCATGAAACTAGTCTTTAAAGGGAGAGTTGGCGCATTGACACGTGGTATTATCGTAATTGTCAATAAATTCTTGTACGTTAAGGTTTCCAATAGTTTCATGGTAGTTAAATATTTTATTATGAATTGGTGGTAAAAATTTGTATGTAGGTGAAATTTTAGAAATATTATCTGGTATATAGAAGTGACGAAAGCAAAATGAAAACACGAGTTATCCTTCTATATAATTGACTGAAGTGACGAGTTTTAACAGATACACGGGCGAATTTCTGCTCACTAATAATTCCTTCGAAGACCAAAATTTGTTAAATGAGACTGTGGGAAGATATCTGACAATTCATCACAAGAGCATCGCTAATGCTGCAATATACGTACACATTCCTGCTTTGGTTGATATGGTACTTTTTAAAATGAAGAGATTGAAATGTGAAATGGCTGTAATATGACAAGAATGCAAACAAGGCTAAGCGTTGGGTTTGTTTTGCCAAATTTACAGACGAAATATTAACATGCACCAAAATAAATAGTTCCTGTCTTTACGGAATAAGGAGTAAATATGCAAAGTTCCAAGATGATCCATTTAGAATTGCAGCCTGTAGACGATAAATACAATTATTGGGCGTGGCTCTGCCCCTGGGGGTTGGATATTGAACAATATAAATAGCTGCCACCCTGTTATTGAAATGATTGATATGCTGAATTTGAACAAAATCTGTTTATTAAACAAAATCTGTTTATTATTGCAACCTGTAGAGTATTTACAGTTAAGAACTGTTGGGACATGCACAAAAATAAATAGTTGCTGTCCTTACAGTATAAGGAATAAATATGCTAGGTTCCAAGATGAACCATTTAGAAATCCAGCCTGCAGACAAAAAACCACAAAAATTAGGCGTGGCTCTGCACCTGGGGGTTGGACATGGACCAATATATATAGGTACAACCCTATGCTAGATCATTCCGAAATGGATCCAAATCGGTTAATAATTGCAACATGTATATTATTTACAGAAAAGGTGTCAACAAAAAGTGGGTGTGGCTCCACAGAAAGGGCTGGGGGGGGGGGGGGAATCGTGCACCAACATCAATAGTTTCCGTCCTCAGGGTATAAAGAATAAGTATACCAAGTTCCAAGATTTTCCATACATCAATAGTTGCCGCAATTAGGCAATAAGGAATACATATGCGAAATACCCAGCGGATCAATTCAGAATTGAAGCTTGTAAACAATAAACACAAAAATTGGGGCCTGTGGGCGAAACACAAGACACATACAAAAATTGGGCGTGGCTCTCCCAACGGGTTGGGCATGCACCAAAAATGATAGGTCAGCCTTAGGGTATAAGGAATAAATATGAAAAGTTTTCAAGACGATCGATTAAGAATTGCGACCTGTAAGTGACACACAGACACACAAAAAGAAAATGGACGTGGCTCTGCCCCTGGGATTGAGCATTGACCCGAGTAGTGAAAATTTTCCCTACAGAAAGTTGGGTTCGACACGGCGAATGTGCACGCTTCAGTGGCTTGTCTCGAAGTGATTTCTCGCTAACTACGCAGTATGATGATACTCAGCGCTTGAGTCTATGAGACTATAAATATCCATCGCACGTGCAATTCTCTACAATCTATCAACTATTACAGCCGTAAAAAAATCTATTGTTAACGATTCTGAATAATAAAACTATTTAGCTTTTTGGTGGTTACAGCAGCTTTAGAAAATTACGTTAGTTTTGTATTTTAATATGCTTTATTATTAACTATTCCGTTAGGAGCGGCATCTTTTAGAAAAAAATTAAAATCCCAAAAGCTCCTTGGTTAGGCAAGAATAGAATACTAGTAGTATTTTCCTTTTGCATTTACAAGGTTCTCAAAACATTTTTTGAGTTGTCTAACGAAGGGGTTACGAAATTAGATTTATTGATCTAGCTTTCTATAAGGTTTCGTAGAAAATAGTCTTGATTATCGCGGACTGTCAATCAGTCGGAGAACGGTCGGTAGACTTGTTAAGCGGGTCTAATTTCAAACCAAAACCAAGGGCACGTAACCTATTGTGCACTCAAAATGCCTGGATGTAATGGCGTCTTGTTGTAAATATTTCAGTCTAGTTTTATTTTCATGTGGACGTATATTGTCGTCGCCCCTGTCCGCCCATCTACAATTGTTTGTGCACACTCTACAGGTCACAATGTTTAACGGATTTCAATGAAACTTGAAATATAGGTTTATCACTCTACGATCTCGGCTCCTTTCGATATTGGCATGTATAGGACTGTAACTTCATGGATTATGGGCCTGATTGTACGAAAAATCACGTTTTTAGCTTGTGAACACTGTAGAGGTCGTAATGTTTATCCGATTTCGTTTAAACTTAAAATGTATGTTTATAACCCACAGATCTCGGTTCCTGAATTATGTTCCCTGGTTGTACGAAAAATCGCGTT